GGCAGGACAGGAAGCCGGATTCACGAGTCACAGGAAGTCGGAAGTGATGTCATGCTGGACAAGAATCAGAGTCCGAATAACATTTTTTCATATTCGGACTCGAGTCCAAATAATCACTTGGTATACAAATATATGAAAATGTGAGAAAAAGTATCTTTTATTTCCCTTCCAAATCCAGGTGTATTGACACTCCCATCGACACAATTTATACATACGGCGTGCCCTTTGGGGGATCGGGTCTGTTTGCTAGCCACATTGAGGGAGCAAAGCGCCTATCGTGGCACAAACGCGCTTGTTTTTGGGTGATGAGTCGGGCGATCATCTCAACCAGACCTGATCCCATCCACAATGGGCACCTGGTATTAGGTCATGATTCAAGTTCAAAAGGCAGGTTTCCGACCCTACCTGTCAGGCCAGGGCCAACCTGGACAGAGAGTGATACAACATCATCCCAAGAAAAAGACCGAGCAACTCGACAAAAATTTATCTCCACTCCTCGCGAATCAAACCCGGGTTTTCTGCATTTTCCAGCGAGTGCCTGATTGTTTCACCATAGACTCATAGACACCAGCTGATAAAATGCGGGCATGTAAGAGCCAATCCTGCACCAGTGTTTAAATTTAATACGGGGAGCCCATTGCGGATGGGATCAGGTCGGGTGCGCATGTCCCACTTGTCGCCTGAAAACAAAATACGCGTTGTTTGTTTTTGAGGTGACAAGTAACATGCGATCGGCTTGTGCCACGATAGCCGCTTTGTGCCCTAAATCTGACTAGCAAACTGCCCCAACCAGACCTGATCCACCAATGGTTATCCCGCATAACGGTACAGAACTTGCTCAAACTCAAACTTTACCGTAACTAATATTTAGGACAAGCGATTAAACGTAGAAAGACGCAAACTATTTTTAGGTACGGTGCCCATCTGGTTTGACGTCAGACCAGGATTCCCCTCCGATCACGTGACTGTGACTACATCTAAGTCAAGTAGCCAACCGCATGGCACCAAAGATGGAAGTGTACGAAAATTGCCTTAAAGACACTGGAGGATTAGATCTAGATCTACCCCCCCCCCCTCTCCTGCATTCTTCACCACTAATATACACATTAAAGAAAAAAAAAATAGTCAGGGACCGGAATCGAACCGTTCCTAAAATCAATTCAAACGCAGATGCGCTGTCTATTCGGCCATCAGAATCAGAACTTCGAGAGCGTGGTTTAAGCGTTATATATTATATATATACATAGACACTTCCATCTTTGGTGCCATGCAGTATACCAAGATACCAGTGTGAAAAACTTTCCAGCCTTCTTGTGTTGAAAGCGTGAAATTTTGCCTGTGGGCAGGGAGAGAGAAAGAAAGAGAGAGAGAGAAAAAGAATGGCAGCCATCTACCCTTTAGATCTCTATCAGTCAGGGGTAAAAAGAGGCAGAGGAAATCTGCAGCATATCAACATGTCCCAACCAACCTTTTTCAACAGTAGCATCATTGTCAATGTCATCCTCTACAACTGGAGACATGTCATCTGATAAAAGTCGCCGTTTGTTCACTTCATCGTCTCGGTTCCTTTTTCTTTCCAAACCTCGAGACCTTCTCCTATCAGACGTTTTGGTTTCGTTCAATCGGGCCTTGTACAAATCGCGACTCATTATGGTTGTTTTGATGAATGATCAGCAACAAAATGTAAGATCAAACTCAACTGACGTCGTTGCTACTCACAACCTCGTTGCGGACAAGCTGTCAAAATCAAAACAGTCTCCTCTAAAGTTTGCACAGGCCTAGATAATAGATTCTAGAATACTGTCCACAGCGATAGAAAACAAAACTGATTTACAATTTACACAATTTAATCCTGTAGATCTATTTTAACTAGAATCTACGTGTTTACGCGATTTTCTCTTACTTCTTGACTAAAACACTTTTGCTAAGTATCTGGGCCTAGAGTCTTACTCTAGAATCTAGACTAGATTTCTATTTTGTGTTGATCTAACTTACGGCTGTTTGAATAAACGACTTTTTCCGCATTTCAATTTCATTGGACGACCGAGTCTGAAAGTCAAGGGGAGGTAATTCCCAAACAAAGAGACTATCCTCAGATGCTTGGGGATAGCTGTCCTATTCGGCATTACCGCCTCACCAGGCTTGGCTATTCCCAAATCTTAAGCTCCCAACTAACTTGAGACCTGATTACGCATGCGTGACCCATGAACCCAAATTTGGGACCCCATGACCTTTGATGATCACGTGATTGTGATCACGTTATCCGCGTTTCCCTCAATTAAATTTTATGCTATGTTTGTAATCATTCATTGGGTCATTCGTAAGTAGATCTATTCTTTCGACCATGGCTTCCCAAGTGGATTG